TTCAGTTCTTTTTTCCCTCTTCCATTACCATTGTGGCATTAAGGCAGTACTCAGTTCTTTTTTTCCCTTTAATCTTTCCATTCCCAGCATGTGATATAGCAGGCTTCATGGAATGGTACTGGTGCCCTCTATGGTTGGTCAGCGTTTTATAGCAGAGCCTCTGATGCAGCAAACACAACAGAAATTCCTCCTGCCAGGATTGCAAGGAGAAACAAATTAATGTCATCAAGTTACGTCAATTTTATTCCAGTGTTAACCCGGAAGTTACCAGGTTATTTTGTCCGTGTTGTAGTCGAGGCCATCACAAGACCAGACAAAAGACGACACACAAGATCAGTCACAGGTTACAGTGTGAACAATGACAAAGGAATGCTTTTGTTGCAGGTCATTTGAATAGCTTGTGACTTGAATTCAGACCGGAGGTCTTCTGTTGGTCTTGTGCTGGTCTTATGTGGTCTTAAGTGGTCTCGACTACAACAACACTGTATTTTGTACCATCTCACAGCTGAGATCTTGGCCATCGCAAGCCTGAATTTTTTCAACAGGGGGCGTGCATATGGAACACTCTTTATCAATACAGATGTGGAGTTTCAAATCAATCTGACATACAACTTATAGTTGATATGGCCATTTGAAGTTGAAGGTTACTTTTTTTGGTTGACCTGTTGTGGGAAAGTGGGTGCTACATGAGAACAGTATGTGTGATTTTCACAGAGCTGCTGTCAAAGTGACTGTAAAAACCTGCTATACGAAACTAAAGGTTTGGCTCGTAAAAAAGTGGAAAAGTATGGCTGACCTCTTTCACGTGGCCAAGCGGTTAGGGTCTGTGGCTTCCAATCATATGGTTGGAGGTTCGAATCCAGCTGCTGGTGGTATGTTGTGGCCCTTGGCAAGCCACTTCACCCCTGCTTGCCTCTCTCCACCCAGGAGTATAAATGGGTACCAGCATTAGCTGGGAAGCAACCTGTGATTGACTGGCATCCCATCCAAGGGGGGAAAGAAATATTCTCAGTCATTTCATGCCAAGGAAACCGCAATAAACACTAGCCTGATGACCCAAAGTGGCTTGGACAAGACTTGCTTTTTTTTTTGCCTTTTCTTTCAGGAAAAAGGGGTGCTCGTAACAAGAAAGATACATGCATGTACGATTTTCACGAAATTGGTGTCAAAAATACAACAAAAGAGATACTGAAAACTCCTGAAGGCTTGACTACTGTACTGTGGCGATATCAGAACAAGTCTTGCGGGACAGATTCTATCTACTCCCTTATACACAATTAACTGCACAATGGGGATTGTCGTAAAACCTGAAAGGGATTGGGTCCCGTATTGGCTTGAGTGTCTATATTTGAAATCTTCAATACTGACTTGACGTTACTTTATGCATGTGTCTGTGACATCAACGTATGGCCTCAACATCATCTTCAATACTTGAAAAGACAACTTACAGTCACTGCAGAAGACAGACTTCTCCTGGATGGACAGCACAGGTTTCTTCCACTCTCACTACCATCTCTGCTTCTATTCACTTGCCAACAATTGCCCTAACAATAAAGAAAAAGTTAACTGGACTGGAGAAATACAAAGGCCTCTTTTCTGTCAATTAATATGAATGATTCCAAAGCCATTTTCATAACTAACCACATGCTGCCGGGGGACGCAGTTCAGGTACATAGGCTGAACACACGAAACCAGGGAGCCCGAAACCAGACAAAAGAGCTGGGCTTTGTAACAAAGGACCGTACTCGGAACAAAAGACCGAGCTGCTGGGAATTGCCAACATTTTTTCAGTTGTCAATATCAGAGGAAATCCGTCATTGTTTTTAAAGATTATACCACTATTTGTGGCATTCATTGCGAGTGGATTACCACCGGGGACAAAATGAAGCGCTACAAAAAACAGCGATGAGCGATCAGTACCGCTGCACGCTAATCTGGCTCCGGGTCGCGGAAGATTTCTGTGCAGCCACGGTAAGTTGGCAGGGGCACAAAAAGTCCAATGGGAACAGTTTCCATACAATGTAGATTGACCGCGACCATGCTAAACATACGAACCAGACTACTGCCTACAGGGAAAATGGTTGTATGGTTCCCAGCCTCCAGCTCCATGTGTACAGTACAGCAGCATGCTTCGCACATGCAGTGAGGCGTGCCCAGAGCTTTTCCTGTACCAGTTTGTTGTCGTGGCAGATTTGGCCAAATTCATCTGATTTTATCTTTGTTTTAGTCAGATTTTGCCAATTTTATCATGATTTGTACAGTGCAGGCAATGTGATCAGCTGGTCTTATTGGGCCTAACACAGCCAACAAACATTCTGTTACAGTTCAACTCCTCTGCTAAAGGTTGTAGACTGCTGGCCCTCTTTGATTCCACAATCTGACCGTCTTACTTGGACCTCCATCAATGTTTCAAGAGCAGATATTATGACAATAAGGGGCTTGATCTGTGGAATTAAAATAATCATAAAATGATTTAACCAATTCATCCATTTATCATAAAAATTTCTTTTTGAAAGACAATTATTCATTTTCATGTTATTTTTAAGGGGCTGCAACAAAATGTTCAAAGATTCGAAACTGTGGATTTCATCAGTAAATTTTGGGGGAAATTACACCCCAAGACAGGTTTACCGTCGGTAATGTTCTCAGCCAGAAAATATTTGTCATCACATCTACAAAGTGTATAACATCCGGCACTGTGCAGTCTCTGTAGTTTTTAGTTAAGTTCTCTAAGACAACGGAAATTAACACAGAACCGTACATTTTTTTGATGGGTGCACCAAGTGGCAGCTTCAACTTGATTTTTAGGAAGAAAAGATTTTCAGCTGAAGCAGATACATTATTCAATTTATGCCTGATCTTCCTGACCCTATGGGGGAGGGGAAAGGTTATCTCCCCCCCCCCACACACACACAGTGACATAACACCTTCAATCGCTTTCTGTCCCATGCAGCCCCCCTCCCCCCTTCAAAAGACGTCTTCCTCTCTTTTTTCCCCTTTCACGAGTGGAGGGTGAAGCCGCCACACCTGCAAAATTGCAATCAAATCAGATGGGTTAGCAGGTGTCAATTACATGTACATGTGTATGAGCATGATGTCATATCCAGACTTACATGACTCCATCGACCAGTCATCTCTTACCTGATTGCCAGCTGCCAGGTGTGTATGCAGGTGTGGAGTCCAGCATCAAAGTGTGCCAATGCAATGCAGGCGTATAGGGTGCATTCGATTACATGGCAGACCTGGAAAAACAGCAAGCTATCACAATAAGAGAAACTCCAACTAACTGAAGAATCTTCAACGGCAAAGTTACAGGGAACTGAATCAACAGGGACTCACACATCAATTCTACATGTAAGTATCAAAACCAAAAATACTGATCAGTTCTTGAAAAAATGACCAAACTGAAAAATTAAATAATACTTGAAAACCATGAACAAAAGTTAAACCCAAAAAAAGAGCTGGGAGGGGGCTGTGGAATCACAGCTCAGCCAAAACTTGATACTTCTCCACTGCCGTGCTCAATGTACATGTAGGCGGGCCGGCACATACAGTGTGTGCAGTCTTGAACTTCAAATGACCATCAAACAAAACAATATGTCAGACTGAGTGAACCTAATTTTTACAAAATGAAACATGGGACGGCAGAGTCACAGCACGGTCCAAAATAACCCGGCTTTTTTAGCATTCACAAGCACAGTGTGTCAAACAGAACTTATAAGAATACATGTAAATCACTTCAATCACTGACTTTAACAAACAGGACTCAAGCAGAAAACCGCACTCTAGTTATGTGGAACAATACATGACTTGTAAGTTGACTTGTCTCTGCTGATCTGCTTCACCGAGTATCATGGCCACACTACATGTATGAGGCCAAATTAAATGCAAGGAATTTGCAAAAGTTTAAGACCACCTGGAATTGTACTGGCATTTCTGTCACTGGGCCTGCATTACATTGTCTCATTGAATGGTGCATAACATCACTGTACAATGTAGTAGTGCTATCTTTATACCCATTTGAATGAAATCTTTTGCAAAGGCAGGTCTTGTATGATATTTTTCTCTGTAAGGCAGCATGGGTAAAACAAAATCAGAAAAAAAAGTCTAAGTAATCAGAAAAAAGGAGGGCACACTAAACATTAGACTGTTAACATTTCAAATCATGGAAATGTGGTAAAATAGCCGTTTAACCAAGATACAAAAGTTACACATTGAAAATAAACAAAAGTTGCCATGATTGATTGGTTTAAGTTTGGTTTTTCTTCAGGTTGATGCATTTTATATGAGTGGTCCTAAACTTTTCAATGACTGTACTGGTATACTACATACTTTTACAGGCATAAAAGCCTAAGGGGAGCTACTTTTATGTTAAAAATAGATTCATTCAAACCCATGATAGATGCTACGTGTAGTTGAACACACCTAATGTGGGGTGCAGCAATTAACGTTCTCAGAGATCACCACAGCTGCGGGTGTCTACAGTTGCACATGTTCACTGCCAGTGACCTTGAGCAAATTGTAACAACATTATGGTACTGAGACGACAAATAATTCACCAACAGGTATAATGGTCAGGAATTTGCCATTTGGGCAAATTCAACATGATAAACTGCTGGGTGAATTAATCAAAAAGGCAATTGAGAAATACCTGTATGTGGCTGATACCGATCACGGCCGGGGAGCTTTATCCTAATATTTATGCCTTCCTCCACTTGTTTCTAGTTTAGTAGTACTGGAGCAGGGCCAAGTATACAGAGGTATAGTCCACTAGTCTGGCCCTAATGAAGTTGAGTCTCCAACATGCCACTCTTCGACGTTTCCTTGACTTTCTTCATCCATCACTGCCACACCTCTTTGCTGAAAAACTTTGAATTCATTCAGTTACAGTAAATAATGATATTATAAGCTTCAAAATACATGCTACTGATCACCTCTGTGAACAATTTTGGTGTCATGAAATTTAAAAACCCGAACTTCAAAAATGACAGCATCTGGAAATTGGCACAAATTCAGCTGAACAAATCTCTGAAAATCCCACATAAGAAGTTCTTCAAAGATGATAAATTCAAGTAAATTACCCCTAAATGTGCATACATGTACAAACTTATTTTCAGAAAAACAGGCCTAACGTTAGTAGTTACTTTCTTCATCATGGGTACATTTTCAAAGCGTTCATTTTGCACTTCAAAAAAAAATAATAAAAATGGAAATCAGGTCACTAGACCTACATACAGTCCATGATTGATGTAATTGGAAAGGCTTTGGAAGTCAGTACAGTACGCAGTGACAGTAGCAAGTGTGAGAACTCAACTTTTTGTCATGTATGATGCAGGCCAACGTAGGCCTATGTGATCATGGATGAAGGCCTATTGAAAGGTAGACCCGGGGGCATAACTAAACATCTGCTTGATTTTATGAGCTGGAATTGCAGCAGTATGTTCACTACTTACGGGGTAAACTATCCCCTAGGTTGCTAATTGCAGAAAATTCACTTTTTCCTTGTTTGGAGGAAAAAATTTGCCTTTCTGTTGCCGTTTTCCCACTCCGGTGAAATTTTGCCCCACTTGCACAAAACTGACAGCTGCTTCGTCACTTTCGTGTCACGTCACAGAGTGCGAGCCGCGCTACCGATGATTTGCCGAAAGCAGTGTGTGACTGGACAGGGAACCAGCCAACAGCACTGCAGCTTAGCTGCACATGTCAGTATAGGACTATATGTGTAAATATAGGGAACATGCAATGTTAGAATTCTGGAAATACTTATATGCCAGAGTTTGTCAGTCTAGCAAGAAAGACTGGGATTTTGCCTTCTCATCTGTGGTAATTAATGATGCATCCAAGTCCCTGGCCTTCCCAAATTACAAGGCCAGGCATCTCATTCAAATGTCAGTAAATTTACATGAACAGCACATGCAATTTTAGAATTCTGGAAATACGTGTACTTTAATACAGGTAGGGCCTATGCTAAAGTGTGTCGAAACTAACCTGCCTTCCAGAGTTGACAAGACCGAGTTGACTTGGGACCAAGCTGACCTGAGACGGAGTTGACTCCAAGCGAGTTGATTCCAGACCAAGTTAGCGACTTCACACTGACAATCTGACATGACTGATGAGTATACGCCTACAGTGTGTGCACATTGCCATGTTTTGCCGGACCATATCCAAATCTTTTAAAAAGGCAATTTTTAGAGTCTATAAGTTGCTGAGACTGATGGCTCTACATCATCCTGATGCAGTTGCATCAAATATTTCAAAAATTCATATATGCACAGCATGTCAAAGTGAAGTTGGGCTAGCACTCAGAAAAAAATATTTTTGACCTTGTTGGGCTTATATCCGTGGGATAGCTAGCTCTAGTACTGAGTGGAGCGTTGGTAATATTCCTCTTTTTCGATTTTGGACGGTATCGCTTCGTATGACTGATTCCTTCCAAAATCGAAAAAGACAAAGAGTGCTCCACTCAGTAGAGCTATGGCCTGGTATTACAGCTGTACGTGAACACATTATCACGCCCAACGACTTGCTTGGGTTATATAAACAATTTGCAAGATGTATGCAAAATCAAAGAGATGGGCATATAGGCTGACTAAAGTTCAGTTACGCACGCCATTTTCACAGAAATGGGCCATGTACATGCACTGTAGGCATGCCTAGTGTTGATCCTAGTCCTACTCCTAAGAATAGTCTCAACATAGTCTAGACTTTTCCTTTCTCCATTATGTCATGGTCTCAAGGACTAGGCCTATGAATTTTTATTCCTGTGAAGTATAAATGTGGAATAAAAGAGCAAAATACATTGTACTTACTCCATATCATGTAGGTGTGCCAGCGATTCCTCAGAGACTATTCTTACGCGTTGCCTTGATGATACAAGAAGTCGCGAAATCATAACGGATTAAATTAAAGCAACCACCATGCGCTCAGTATAATACGCACGTGCACGGGTACTATGTGCCACTGCACTGCACGTGTCATGCAGTTTGTCCGTACCGTATCCACAGCTGGAGGTAGGGTCCGTGTTTCATTCACGGACTACCTGGCAGGCGTGGTTCGTAAGCGTGACGTCACTTCAGTTTAAACCACGCCCATGGACCATGGAAACCGGAAGTTAACGTGCAACTTCGGCGATCGTCGACGCGTCCAATGCGTACACTACTGCGACCCTGCTAATCCTGGCGCGTCCGCCTTTGTGACGAAGTCACTTACAAACCAGATAGCCTCACCCTGCTGCTGATGGTTGCACTACACCAAATACGCACCCATAGAAAACAGAGCAAAGTCGGGCCGAAATAGCGCCGCCTGTTGACTCTCGTGAAGAGGTTGGCCTCCGTTTTTTCACTGGAAATTCAAAATTATGGCCAGGAGATCACTTTTCGTTTCACTTTTATGTGGGTTAGCCACGAAAACATATTTATTCATCTTTGAACTAAGATACCCCAAAATAGCAATAAAACTAAGCACTCATTTCTGAATTGAACCGCCCGCCTCTTTCCAAAATAAGTCTGCAATTTCGTGCTTTTTGTGAAAGAAATACCCTGAACTGGAGACTATCAGTCCTTAATTCGAGATTTGTAGAAATATTTCTATGACGCCTCCTGATTATGACCTATTTTATTGTAAAAAAAACCCGTGGGATCACAAAATATTAATGAGCTCGCGCGCAGAAATACAACCATTTGGTGGAATGCACCCTGGATTGTGCTAGCTTAATTACCCCCTCTATCGAAATTCCGATAGGCCGAGTTCGGGCGCCTTGTTCCCGTATGTTCACGAACAGCTCGATTTGTTATTCGTGGGTCGGCCGCTCGAACGCCGGGAACAAACAACTGGTTATAGCTGGTAGTTAGTGACAAGCAACATGCAACATGGCGGCGTCCATGTAGGCTACGCTATTCGAGAGTTAATGTTTGGATGGGTTGAATTCTTTTCTATATAAACAGAAACATTCATTTCTGTGTTACGGCAAATAATTAATGGTAATTTTGCAAAACTTCCCATTGTCTATGGCTTTGGAAGCCATCTCTCTGCTTTTTGCATCTCTTCAAAAATCAAAATCTCACGAGTTACCGTGCCAGTGTGTTCCTGTAAAATCCTGACGAGGAGGTGGTGTGTGATCCTGTTCCGAGAACGGTGTTCTTGAGTCGTGTTCCCGCCGTTCGAGTGCGAGAACAAGAAACCCGTGTCAAGAACAGGCCGCCCAAACTCGACCTATACTGTCAATATTCGCGACGGACAGATTCAATAGCGCCCCCATTTCCATGTTTGTTTCACCTATGGTTGTGCACCTCTCTGTAGCCAAGTGAAGATTTAAAGCCTCACTGGCCTATATCACACGTCATCTACATGCCACATGTAAGAATCAGGAGTGCTTCAATAATAATGGTTTAGAATCCAGAATAGACCGATCACGCCAGCTATAAGTCACGTGACCTATAAAGGGTATTAATTAAATATCAACAAACAGGGTGTCCACCAAAAGCAAAGTGTTTCATAAGTATCATTTACCAAAACAAAGCCAACGGTAGGTACCGTACCCAGACTACTGATGTGCTGGGTGCTACACGGTCTATTGGCTTTATTGTTTGCAAACAACACTCAAAACACGTTGATATGGGGTTGATACCCACTTAAGGTCATGTGATTTAGCGGACGCAATCGGTCTTCTGAATGTGCATAATTGATAAGCCACTCCGGACTTGTTTTGAGACAGAAAAGGGGGTGGAAATTAATTACGGCTCAAAAAGGACTGATTTGTGGAAATTGTTGAAATGTCTGTGGATCCTGAATAAGATATGGCATACGTCAGGTATAGAGTTGCACAGTGGCATGGGAGAAGGGTGACCAAAGAGGGGTGATTTGCTCGATCACAAGGGCGCTTATCAGTTCTCCCTGGCTAAACTGTTCCAACTAGTGACCACAACAATTTATCAAGGCGATTGCGCATGTGGGAATCATGGCAGAAAGCGCCCCCAGCATCTCTTTGGACTTTTTACGGCATTTTTATTTACAGAGATTTTCTAGACCGGTGGGGCGAAGGGGCGAAAACGTGACAACCCAAATGCCCCGTTCCAAGCCCCCTTCAATTTGCCGTCGAATGAAGACTGAGTGTACCCCCTCCCTACATATGCCCAATCTTCCCCGCCAGCCACGAGAGACGTCTAAGGTCAGATACAAAACACGTGACTTGAAAATAGTTACTTTGCAGCCAAGCCATTGGCCGAAGAAAGTGGTTCGCACACACCGGAGAAATCGATAACAGGCACGCAAATTCCTCCAGCGTGTAGTCTGGAACATTACCGGTAAGTCCCCCCCCCCCGATATCAAATAAATAAATAAATAAATAAATAAAAAATAACGCAGACAAAATAAATTTGGATTCTTGTGGCTCAGGTCAATGAGTTTTTATTTTGCAATAACCTTGACCGCATGGTGTGTGTTTAAATCAGAAGTTCTAGTCATTTCAGCAGAGTAGATGCGGACCATGGAAGCAAGCCAAAACGAAATATCGACAAGCATGTCGGTTAGGCTATATGCGGTTACAACTCTCAATAAGTATATACAACCATGCATAGAAAAAATCCTTACAAAAGTCCAACATTAGACAACGCTAAATCCATCAAAGTAGGCTACACACTATGGACACAATAATGAAACATTTTGTGTATAAAAAACTATCATGTAAATGGACCCTCAAAGGCCCCTTAAGTAATGAATGGCAAGCAAAATCATGTATACTTTTTAAAAAAAAGTATGTATCACGAATTACAGGGTTTGCTAACGCAGACCGCCGCAGGTCTCTTGATATGTGCATGAGCATACGTGGGCTCCTTTTTCCGGATTTGCTTTCAGATGAAATGACTAAATCATATTCTCAGTGACGTGGTCCACTGTGCATATCTGCCTCGAGCAGAAGCACCCCTCATCGGTTGAAAAGAGCCCCGTTGGTCGGGAGTGTTCATTTTGTTGGTAGTGACGCGACCGTAGCGCGTGCATTTTATAGTCGTTAGTGAACCAGCGAAGTTCAGTTCCGCCCAAAGGAGTTTCCGCTACTAAGAACATTGTGCTCTCTCTTGGTCCAACTCGAGGCTCATAGTCATAGGTGCTTGTTTTGATCAGAAGCTGGAATATTATAAGTTATTAGTTTTCGGGGCCTCGGGGGGAATGTGAAATGAACGACCCCTTTTTTAGACTTCAGAGTTGCCAGTGTTTACGACAAGGAAGGCAATCGGGTTGCGCGGGCAGGCGCCGCATTGGGCAGCATTCACAGCGCTGCCTGAAAATCAGTGCGCCTCCCAGTGGGGTGCTCCTGTACGCAGTCCACTCGTGAGATTGAGAAGGGGGAGTATAATGCTTGGGGACCTTCGTTCTATACGCCAATGCAGTTACCGAGAAAGAATCAATCTTAACCCACTCGACGGACAGACTCAACATTGGGAGAAGCAAAGGGATGGTACCCTCCAATATCAAGTTTCATAAGAAAGGGCGCTTTTCTAGCGAAATTAAAACTTTAGGCGGTGCTTTTGACTCTTTTGCCCTCTTCCCTTCCTCACTCGTTTTCCTGGTACATGTAATGAAATAAAATGACTTTAGGTAAACAAAGCCGAGGTAGTTTGCCGCTCTACCCCAGGGCAATTTTGAGTGTATGGTACCAGAAATACTTGCGCACTATTCTAGTTCCGGCTCAGTTTACTGCGATTTGGGACCAGTCTATGTTCATTATCGCTGGTTCCTTAAATTGACGAAACAGTAGTAGAGGAGTTAATGAAGTGCTGCTTTGAAACACAGTTGGAAAAGTTGACCAGTGATTCATCGCTTACGAATGTTGGGGTTTACGCGAGCAAATGGCGAAATGATTAGATGATCAATCTCTGGAACACACGGAGCTCTGGCAGTGCCATCCGACTTGTTGAGATCTTGACTTGTTGAGATCTCAGGATAACGATAAACTAGCGATGATACCGGTGTGATTTCGCAGGGATAACCACAAAGTAGTTTATCACCGGATTACGACATACTGAGAAAATCAATTACCCCCACCCCCCGAAAAAGTAAGAAACAAAACCGAAAAGTAAAATACAAACAAAAGAAGGAAGTTGACGTGCTGAGCTTCTTATCTAGAAATAATAACATCCTGGAAAGAGGATGCCAACATCATGACAAAATTTATCAAAGGATATCGATGACCACATCCCGAAAATAAAATAAAAACAGAGATAATGAAATATCTCTGGAAGGTTTATCCTCATCTTCAACGTGCCGTCATCCCGCGATATTTTACAATCTCGAGATGTTGACTTTTTACTTTTAAAGATAGCGTCTCCCGTGACAAATTAAATCATGATGTCAAAATCTCAGCGGTAAATCGACATCCCAATATAACAAAATGTCAAGACTGTTTCAAACAATTGTTTCTTTTAACATAGGCCGAGACGAACACGGCTCACAATAATGACAACAGTAGCAACCTATTCTCGGTGAGGGCGCTGTGAAGGATGGCCTTTAAGTCCCGATCCCATAATATTCAATGTATTTCTCCTCACGTAAATAAACTCGTTCTCCAGTTAAACTGCTAATCTGAAATAGACAATTTCAGCAGTGACCTTCTAATTAAGTCAGATACACTATCCAAACTACATGATATACCGAAACGGTCATTGTTAAAGCGCCATCTCTTGATCATTTACAGCCATTTTCTCTTCCGGCGTCCAGAAAAAAAATGGACGATGCATTTATTGCTATAGTTTAATACTGCTTTTCTTAGATTTACATCAGAAACATTTTTATATACTTCTCACTTATGCTATTCACAATTTATTCATGATAGTTCAACTTTTACGCTTTCTTCAAACGGTGGATAGACACGCTTAACACATCACCCTGTAGAACTTCAAAACAATTTTCAAAACTAAATGCCAACAGATAACTGGCACAGGGAACTTGACTTTGGAACCATAGACACCTGTCCCCAATTCAAGCGAAAGGAAGGGCTTCCCATGGCCATGAAAGAAGGAATAGAGGGGCATTACCTAGAGAGACACCCGTCAAAGTTCCCAGAATGTTTGTGGAAAACTCATTGTAACTTACGATCTGGATTTATGCAATCAAGTGGGCAAATTGCGGGAACACGAGGGAAGACAAAAGTATATGATTACGTCCACTATCAAAAAGTTCCCCTTCTGCTCTTCAAACAAAGTAATGTGTCTTTTACTTCTTCTGAAAGGAATTAAGAAAAAGGTTCAAACACACTGTCATGGCTTTTCTAATGAAATTAGTGAAAAACTAATCAATTCCCTTCCCCTAAAAGCAAACTCGTGATTTAGTGGGTTCCCCTTCAGAAAGATGTTGCATTGAAATGTGACCTATCAAGACATCAAAATTCACAAGTTTCTTCTTTAATCATACAGGATGACATAATGTCAAGTCCGATTCGAGGTTTTATGAAAAAATATTTAACTTAATGACATTATAAAGCATTTGATAAGAAACAAAAACATCACAATCAAACTTTTCTTTCAACCGGACCAAGGAAAATGAAAGCTAGGCATCGTCAGACACAGACGAACATTTCCAAAGAGGCAGAGCTTTTCATGAAAAGTTCATCCATCCGCGTAGGCGCTCAGTTTGATGATCAAAAAACGAAGGAAATTGAAGGCCGTGAAAAGCGCAGGGTGTGGTCTAAACTTATTTTGACAAAGAGATTGCCGTGTAGGTACTCAAGAAAACTATTGAACAAGTTCGTTTCCCTTGTCACACTATGAAAGACAGAAATAGGAATAGGGCCTATCAGAACAAAAGGAAATTAGAGGCTGTGAGAGGCATCACATGTCTTTCATAACACGACCCATTTTTGTAAAGGATGCGTTATTTGTCGTGACAAAAATAAATTCCGAGTATGAGAAAAATTGAATAGATCGTCGGGAGTGGTTTCAATGGGGGAACCAGCATCATTTCAGCATTTCCCAATATTTAAAGAAGAATGGGCCGATCCGTGTCCAATTAATGATCATCAAAGTTTATACTTATAGCACCACAACAAGCAAGGGGAATATGTTCATGATAAAAATTAATTTATCCTCAAAGGAAAATGTCAAAAACAAATTGATACATGAGTCACGGTATGGTTCACATCAAGTCCTTTTTGTCAATGACGGAAGCTTTGAATTACAGTTCTAGCGGAGTTCATTTATAAAAAAAAAACCGACAAAAACGACTCTGAGCACCCTGGCACACATGAATAAACCAACGAAGAACGAAAGCAAGCCTGTACGCGCGCCAGGACAAGTTCGTTTGAAAACACACCCAGCCACCTCTCTCTTAAGGGACAGCGCCTCCAATGGGAGGGATCCACAGTAAGCCCGCCACCAAGCGTTTGCTTGGAAAGGGCACCTTTTCAACGGTATGATCAACAAGTTGAACGTTTTTAATAACCTCACTCTTCCAACAACATTACTTGAAGCCTCGTAAATTAACTGACTGCAATCCATACAAATTCTGAGTTAATCGCGCTTATCTGAACAAATCTTGCGATTGCCCAATTTAATACTTAAACAAGGGAGCACCATGGTAACCCTTGGTGGCGGACTTTAACCCATTAATAAGAGTCGCTCCTATTGGTTATCTCTTGAACAGGGACAGCATTTTCAGGCAGATATGATTGGCCTTTGAGTGTATTGGTGCATTACACGCAAACTATCAGATAAACAAACTGTTCAACAGATAAGAATATTTTTCAGCTCTGTGCAAGCTCTTTGGAATGTTCAAGTTTTTATTTGCCATAATAAAAAATTTATGTACAGTCCCACTGTGCACACGTGTGCAGCATGTTAAAACAGACGTGTAGGCGATACGTCAACTTTTCAGAAATAAGATAAACAGAAAATGTAAACACGATAAATTGCACTGCTCGGAGCATGGTAAATATAAAAACATTTTCAATCTGAATCTAAAAGCTACCTCAAGGATGATCAAATCTAACACACAGGCAAAGGAAGTAATTTCGACGTTAAGAACTCAGTTTGACCCCGTGCTTGAATTACCCTGCTGTGGTATGCGTCTGCACGGTCTAGGAGAAGTTCCCTAGTCAAGTATGCACGAGTACTGCGTTTCTCTCAACGGCGATCTCAGCCCAGGGAAGGTGTATGCACGTTACGGGGGGAACCATTCAGCCTTAGTAGTCTCCTCTCAAGCCACTTTCCGCTTCCAGCAAATCATTTCCACTCTGCGGTGTGAGGTTCTCCTCCGTGTCCGATTGGTATTTCGCGAGCCGGGGCCTGATGTTGTGCTCCGGGTAAGGTCCCTCCGTCTCCCCTTCGCATTCCTCCTTCAGCGACTCCTCCGTGACGAACTCCGTGATGGCGGTTAGCGTATGGGCCGGCGCCGACTGCCGGCTGCTGGTGCCCGCCTTCGCCTTCTTCTTGCGCTCGTTCTTATTGGAGTCCACCTTGCCGTTGCCCATGTGCATGAGCAGCGTCACCGTGGTGCTGTACTCCATGGTCCGGTCCCGTAAGAACTGCTTCTTGCAGAGCAAGCGCTTGAAGGCCGTGCGGAACTCGCGATTGGTGGCGTAGATGAGCGGGTTCAAGGAGCTGTTGACCCAACCCAGCCACAGCACGATGGTGAACACGGCATCGTTAATGCAATGCGAACAGAAAGGAAGAATACAGTTGACCACAAAGAAAGGTAGCCAGCAGAAAACGAAGACGCCCAAGATGGCGCCCAGCGTCTTGGCAGCCTTATGCTCTCCTTTCTGATTGTTATCAAGCACCCTGTTTTGACTGCGTATAATCTGCTCCTGTCGCCGGGCTTCGCGGTATATCAACAGGTATGTTATAATCATCACGATGGAAGGAACATAGAAACTAATGCACGAGGACAAGACGGCGTATATTCCGTTAAGGATAAAAGCACAGGTGGGCGGGTTGGCCGTTATGGAGTCTTGGATGCCGTCCACGGTGTGAACTCCAGCGAGGACAGGCACGAAGGACAAGACGCATGACACGATCCACACGCACGCTATCATCATCAGGGCTCGCTTCCGCGTCATCTTGCTCTGGTAGTCGAAGGGCTGCGTGACGGCCCAGAAGCGGTCCAGCGCAATAACGCACAGGTTCAGGATGGACGCCGTGGACATCATGATGTCCAGCGCCTGGTGCACGGTGCAGAACTTGCCGAACGGCCAGTAACCGATGGTGAAGGACGCCGCGTTCCACGACATGACCAGGAAGCCCACCAGGACGTCCGAGAGCGCCAGCGACACCACGAACCAGCTGGTGATCTTGTGCCGCAGCTTCCTCCATGAGGTGACGGCAGCGATGACTAGGATGTTCCCGAAGACGGTCAGCAGCGAGATGATGGCCAAGGCGATGCCGGCCGCCACGTTGGGGTCCCCGGGGGCTAGCGGCTCTGACTCGCTCATTGAGGCATTGTAGTCATTCCACAGCTCACTGTACATGAACGGCACGGCGGTAGTTGGCTCCTGCGTCGGCGGCGAAGACAACTCCTCTGGTAACGTGGCCAAGCTCACAGTCATCTTAAACCACGACACACCAGGTAAACCATAGCTTGCCCACTTGCCAGCCACCGACGGAATTTAAACTTGCGAATCACACGAGGGATTCTAATTGAGAAAGACGGTGGCGGTCCATCATCTCTGATGCTCTATGATTGCCGTGGGGTCTGTGAAATTAAAGAAACAAACGATATTTAAACAAAAAGGCTGTGTAAATCCCATATGGGAGGCGCAGGAATGACTGACAAACAAACGGTGCCTACGTCGGCAGCGGTTGCTAAGTTTCTTCACGTAGATTACTTGGATTATTACAATGCGTTATAAAATGCGCTGCCAACCAGACAGAATAGCATTTTTCAGTGTCAAGTTGGGCACAGCGCGCGTACGCTGGATGCCTCCGTAATTCGCCAAACTATGCGTAAACGCGACGAAAGCCCGTCGCACCACTCATAACATACGACGCTCACAGGCCAAAGCTACATGGCCACGATTTGATGAGAACACCTCTGCGATTTTCCGCTTGGACTCGCTCTAGACTTGGGTTCTTTCTTTTTTTTTTCTGTGACGTCACGGACTTGCCAGGCGTGCGTGCCATTACGAACGGAGGATTATGTTGCAGAGGAGTCGCGGATTGCACGGCGGATCAGTTGACCCACAAAACGAGCTCTCTGATTTCAGGTTTTAGGAACGGCGGCATACATTTTCCTCTTCGCTAAATAAAATCAACAGATAAGGCAGAGGAGATACAAAATGACATTAGCTTGCAATCCGATCTTTCCAGGTCTACGGAGTCTCAATACTTAAATTTCAAATCACTTTCAAATTTAATAAGGAAATTCGATCCTCTAACTAGCGAGCATGTGAAAATATTATCCCTTTCAACACGTAATCATGTTTCGCTCTTGCGCTCAGCTTTCTGTATTCACTAGGTTCCTTATAGGGGAGGGGCTAGTCTCCGATGCCACCTGCGTGGCCTTTGGAGTGATTAGTAAATGTGTTCAATATCCAATTACGACATTAGTAAATTGATTGGCGTCGGGTGGGACAGAGGCCATCCTCCGCCCAGTGCCATTAAAGTGCTCGCAGGCACAAATAGGCACTATCTTCAATAGTCGAATGTTGAGCAACAAAAAGAATATGTTCTACAACAAAAAGAATATGTTCCGGTTCTTATCAGAACCACACAGACTCAAAAAGAGATATTGCATGGTGCTTACCGCAAGCTTTCCATCTTAAAAAGAATATGGAATACAAGTATGTTCACTGGTGCTTGTCATTACTATTCGTCGACCACCTCGGACATGAATTGGCAGTCGAAATGCATGTCAGTGCACTCTATAACGTCAGGATGCTGTCGAATCGTGTGCGCTGTGAACTTCATCAGGAATCATAGAAAAGGGAAAGTCGGGCAGCGATTTTTTTGTTTTCACTTGACGGGGACGGACGTCGATGCAGCCGACCAATCCTGCTTCTTGATTGAGTGATTGGGTCGTTGCTCCCGAATAAAACTCTCGAATTCGGCGAAACCGGAAAGGAATGTTGTCCCCGTAAGAAGTGCAGGGCGCAAATTTAGTTAAAAGCAGCGTCCTAATTTAAACTGATCGTGCCCACGCACGGGCCAGTTTGCTGGCAGCTTCTCCCCCCCCCCCACTTCTCTCACTGTAGTCTTACCCCATGTGGTTGTGTGTGGGTGTGTGTGCAAGAACACATGCATTTGTTGCCACTCGACTGCCGGTGCGGCAGGTACAAAGCCCGCCGCTGCACTCCAAAGCTACCGCAGCGGTTCCCTTTTCATATCGAAATCCCCCCCCCCATAGCGTGACCTTTCCTGAATCGGGAAAACTGCACTGTCTTCTGGTGAGAGAAGTCGTCTGTAAGGCGCTGATCCGTTCAAGATCAGAAAAATCAAGTCGTGACCACGAGAGGGAACGTTCGGGAGGTTTTTCTTCCTCCCTGCCTGATAATAAATACCGGCTGCTTGTGTGTCCTAGATTCTGATCCGTCTCGGCCAAAAGAAACCAAACATCCTGATGGCGGGTGCCGTAATCGGTGACAGGTATTCTCTCCACGGGCCTTCTTTCCAGCGCGAGGCACAGCCACGCTTTTTCCCCTGGAATCGCTAAAGACCGATCAAAATCTTTGATGGGGGCGGCAGACCCAAGGGTCAGTTCGGGGCTCGCGTTGGACAGTGGGCTGGGGGGAGGGCTTCGCTATTCCCAGAACGACCTGGCGAGTTACGGGCAGGGACGGCCTGAACTCGAGAAAAGTGTTGTTCCGGGGAAGTGAAAATGTGGGTTCCGGCACGTACGTGCGCTGAATTGAAATGTCTAGGGACAAAACCTGACTGCGAACAAGCGAATAATGCTTGGACGGGCTCATTCTAGCAGGGCGAAGTTTTCTCGCCCAGAATGGACAACACGCGAAGCCATGGATCAAATGATTCTGAAGTATGAAAGCGAGGTGAACAAATTGTTGTGCTTAAAGGCTTTATGTAATACAAGTTCTTCCATACAGTTCTGTATTATAACTATAGCATGAGTGTTTGTCGCTGAAGGGAAACACTACGTTAAGTTACATTTGGTCAGATTTTGAACAAAATGCTTTATACGCAAAACGAATTCTCTGACAGTTTCACAATTGAGTTTTCTCTGGTTTTCCTAGTGCGAGGAGTGACTACACGAAAGGTACAAAGTTAAGGTTAGCCAATTAACGGCTGGAACAATCTGTGGCCCATGAACTGAGACAAATATTTAAAACAGGAACATCGTTACGGTTTCTTTTGTTAGACTGGCCGGGTGGACGGAACAAAAAAAAAGTGGGTGTCGAACGATTCAACAGGAGACTATCCCACGAGTCCAGACGATGAGGAAAAAAAAACTAGGTCCGACCAGAGGAATCTTGAATGACATCTTCAAGTGACTGTCATCGATTCCGCAGGGGGAAATAAGTAATAAAAAATGTAATGGCGCGGCCCTTAGTGGGAGACGAACCGCCTGGGGGGAGATAGCTTGTCGCTCCTCGTGGCGCTCGATTTACCCCCTTCGGACTATCATCCTGGCCACTCGTGACGAGCTGTGGAAGAGGATAAAAGATTTTGTCTTCGATGATAAGTCGAAAAAAGATAATGGCCTTCCGCAAGAGCGGCGTGTGTGGGAAGCGATACAGGCCGCTGAGAGACCGATGAGCTTACAGCTTAGAACCAAAGAATCATCGACATGGTTGATGTGTACAGGATGTCACTTAACCCATCTGAAAATGTGACTATTCGAAGGTGCATTGGTAAAAATTGAGATAAACAGTTACTCACGACTGCCAAAAACCAAGCTGTTCTTTTGAAAAAGATGATAGAAATAAAAACCACGAATACTGTCTTAAAAATCACGTACTTGTTCACAAACTGGCCATTCCCCCCCCCATCGGCTCGATTCTTGTATTGTTGCTGGGTGATCCTTACTGTAGAAACAACCACTATGGTAACACGCGTTTTATGCACACAATATGGTATGGTCGTGCTTGGTATTAGCACATCGTAATTCGTCGTTTTATGCACGATCCTGTGTACATCATTATGTATTACACACTTACGTTAATGTACCCATATTTTCAGGATGGATTTCTTGACTGTACGCATGTGTCACCAGTGTACGCAAGAAACGGATATAGAAGACACTCTTTGTCACGCTGCCCCAGTTTTTTATCCCAGAAAGCACCGTGTCAAGTGCCTCTCTTCTGCCGAGAGGCCATCGGGTGTCTTTGTCTGATATACTCGCATCCATCGCGCCTCTGCCCGAATATGTAATCCGCCTTTCTCCTAGGAGGCCGTGGGCATTCGGAACGGAACAGCCAAATGTAGCTTCGCTCCCGTTGGGGGGGGGGTCGATGAAATACATATTTTTACCCGGCTCGCAACTGGTAGGGTACTGCTTGGTAAGAGAGCGGAAGGGTACGAGCGAGTGTTTGCCGGTGAAATTCTGAATTCCCAGGGCAACCATGTCACACGCTTCGCCCGTGCGGCCTCTCGGCCTTGCTGACCTGCAGCACACAAGACGCGGTACACGATAGAGAAAATGGCCTTTGTCCAAGGACAACGTCGTACCTTGCGCATGGTATTACTATTAACTTGTATATTCCTGATCAGTTGCCCTCTTCATCCACGGCATTACAATTAGCAAACCTGTGGCGGGGTAATTTTGCGACCGCGATAAAGTTTCGATGACGGAAAGACATCGTTTTTTTCTCCTGTGTATACGTTTGACCTATTTCTAATACATAATGGCTGCTGACATGTCCCAGAAAGCAATAATATGATGCAGGAAATTACATTTGAGGCCTCGACGAACAGGAAAAGTACAGAGAAAAAAGGAGCCAAATTAAGTTAACTTCATTTTTCTCTTGCAATCAAGGATGTGATGTAACTTCAAAAGAACTTAATTGAACGAGAGAGGGCGGCACAAAAAGGAATCCCCTCGGGGGATGAGTGCTCGTCACATCCCGTCACATCAGTACCACGCTTCCGTTTGCAGCATCCCTACAGATATTATATAATCACTGTGTTGGTCTGAAATGGAAAGCGGGATGAGGTTGCGCCAATGTGGTGTGCGCATGCGTCGCACGACTGTGAACCATTTTCAAGGCATTCTTGGCGCGCAGAAGTGACAGGCTCCTGGCTTCAACATTGCAGGCCCGTGGTGGTCTCCGTACGCCAAAAGGCGCCGCGGGTTAAGGAAACGGCGCACAACAAAAACTAATCAAATCTCTCCAAGTTCATCGGGGCCCATTTCCGACCGTCCGTCTCCCAAGCCGCCTGTGCCCGTCCGCGCGTGCATGCAACGCCGCCCTCTCCTTTGCGCACGCCGCTCGCTTGGGTCTTAATGGCGGTACTAATTTAGAAAGACAATCCAACAATGTTCAATTGAGAGGCACGTAATGAAACCCAAGTTATGAAAGCTTCTTTTTTTCTCTCTTTCTCTCCTTTTTTTCTTGCCGTGGGGCCATGGCTAACAATCTTCCCCTCCCCAACGCCCGGCACGTCCAGCATTCCTCAGTCTTAATGGGCGCCGGCGGAAAATTAAACTTGCCGTTGGGCAGCAAAGCCACCATCTTGGGAGTATCGATCGAGGGCCGGGTGCGCAGTGAATACACTTAATGTTCTAGCCCCTGGTTGTGT